CATCTGTTCATTCTTTTGCTCAGTTCTTTTTGTATTAGAAGTACATGCCTCTTTGGCCAGTTAAATGAGTCATAAATACGTCCTGTGAGTAAGTTAAAACAAAGAAGTTTTGACTTGATTGTTTTAAACCAGTGTGAAAAAATTTTAATTATGCCTCCCTTTTTGTCACCCTCCTAGTAGTTGCCACGGCAAGTCTAAAAAACAACTTTCTAATTTGGTGGGTCATGATTTCAGTTTTAATTCAAATGATTAATTTTCAAACCAAAGGCATACACAGTGATCATAATTCATACGGTTGCATTAACAATAATGCCAATGTAATTAGAGTTTGTTGAAAGTCCCTTAGACTAGAGTTGTGGGTCTAATTGTGTTCCAAAATAGATTACTTCTGGGGAGGTTGCTGTCTTCCTTTTTAAAAGGCGTTGGAGAGCTCAGACTTAAGGCTACTTGTGTTGGTATCTTGCATCCATCATTCACTGGCTGCATTCCTTGGGCAAGCTTCTGGACCTCAGTTTCCTCCTTAACTTCTCTGGGCCTCAGTTTCCTTATCTGTGAAGTGGGGATTATAATAGTTCTGACCTCAGGGTTTTTATGAACTGAATGAGTTTACTATGTATAAAGTATGTAGAATAGTGCCTCACTCACAGTAATTGTTCAAGAGTTGATCTTCATTATGATCTTCTGTTCAGTAAAACAAGCCTGAAACAATGTAGCCTATTTGACCTGACCATCTTCATTCTCTTGTTAGGTTACACACTCTTACACTGTGCTGCAGCCTGGGGCCGTCTGGAAACTTTGAAAGCACTAGTGGAGTTGGACGTTGATATAGAAGCGTTGAATTTCCGGGAAGAAAGAGCTCGAGATGTTGCTGCTCGGTATTCCCAGATGGAGTGTGTGGAATTCCTGGACTGGGCAGGTAAGGAAGCCCCAAGGTAGTGTAACCAAAGTTGCACGAGTTCTCACGCCTTGTTAAGTCATAGATAGAAACTACCCCAGGTGAGTTGTCACATAAACGAAACTTTATTTGCAGCAAATATCGAAGAGAACAACTTCCAAAGCTATGACTCCCCAAGCAAGGGTACATGGGCTCCTTTTACTAAGGGCTAGGGTATTTAGAAAGGGGATCCTCATCATTGTTTGTACAGGTGAGTATCAGGTCCCCCATGCGCCTTAAGGCAACATGCCTGTACATACATTGTATGTTTTGTAAACGAGGCTTGTGTCCTCCTCTGGTGGAGATTTTAGTATTAAAGTGAGATAAAGATAGTTGTTGGTTATTCTAGGGGTCACTCCATGGTCCTTCTGTGCAGGCACAAGACGTGGGTTATGCTCAAACTGGTCTGGGTAGTCTGGGTTGGTTGGAGGCCTCAGGGTAGTTGCTATGCCTAAGGGGTAGTTTCATTTCCATTTGCCTGAGTTAAGAGATAAGCTGGAAAGAAGTGCTTAAGGAAAAATAGGGACAGAGGTTAGTGAGCACAAGCAGGTATGTAGTAAAGGTCAGCTCTTGGGATCTAGCTGGTGACAGTAGCAAAAGGACTGAATGATGGATTTTTTTCCCCTATGAGTTATAGGTTATACCATCAACAAATCAAGAGACAATTAGCATTTTCAGCTTTTAAAAAAAAATTTTAATTCCAGTATTGTTAATATGTCGTATTAGTTTCAGGTGCACAATATAGTGATTCAACACTTTCATACAACACCCATTGTTGATTGCCAGTGCACACCTTCATCCCCATCACCTGTTTCACCCATCTCCCCCTCACCACCCCTCTGGCAACCATCAGTTTGTTCTCTATAGTTAAGAGTCTGTTTTTTGGTTTGTCTCTCTTTCTCTCTCTCTCTTTTTTTTTTTTCCTTTGTTCATTTGTTAAATTCCACATAGGAGTGAATTCATATGGTATTTGTCTTTCTCTGACTTATTTCACTTAGAATAATATTTCCTAGCTCCATCCGTGTCATTGCAAATGGCAAGATTTCATTCTTTTTTTATGGCTGAATAATATTCCATTGCATATATACCACGTCTTTTTTTTTGTTTTGTTTTGTTTTTTTAAGATATAGGTCTTTTTAAAAAAAATTAACATACAATGTGTTATTTGTTTCAGGGGTACAGGTATGTCATTCATCAGTCTTACACAATTCACAGCACTCACCATAGCACATACCATCCCAATGTCCATCACCCAGTGACCCCATCCCTCCCACCCCCCTCTACTCCAACAACCCTCAGTTTGTTTCCTGAGATTAAAAGTCTCACTTGATTTGTCTCCCTCTCTGATTTCATCTTGTTTCATTTTCCCCCTCCCTTCCCCTATGATCCTCTGTCTTGTTTTTCAAGCATTTTCAGCTTTTATCAAGTTTTATTTGTACATGTAATCACGGCTGCTGATAGCGTGTGAAATCTTTTTTTTTTCTATTTTGCTATTGACCTCAAACATTGTACTCAATAGAAACTGTACCTATTGGAAGTTAGTTGATTGACTAATTTCTAGCAGTTTCATCAATAATTTCTTATAAGGATATATGTATGCTATATGTTCAGGGCCATTTTCTGAGAGACTTAGGCAGAGTGGACCATTCCTTTTCTTTTTTTAATGGTGTATTTGAACCATATATTGCCTTCCCAGGTAGATACAGTTATAATAATTTAAAATGACTTTCCAGGGAAAATTATAGTGCTGGAAGTCAGAATAGCAGTTATCTTTCTGGAAGGAAGGGAATTTCTAGGATGTAGTGTTCTTTTTCTTGATCTGGTGCATGGTGTATTCATTTGTGAAAGTTTATTGAGCTATATAGATTTACAATTTTTGCACTTTTCTGCATGTATGTTAATGCTGCAATCAAAGGTCAAAAAGCTATGTGTTATTTTGAGTTTTAGTGATTTTTTTGGTTAATTCATTTCCACAGCCATGTAGAACATAGCTTAGGGATTCTAGGGAGATAATACCTGTGTAATTATGTATACACACATTGGTTAAAAAACTAGTATTTGTGAAGTTCCTGGCATTCATTTCGCATGGTTCTCTTGCATTTGTGCTTTCAGCAAGCATTTATTAAATGCCCACTACGAGTATAGCATTGTTGCAGGTACACCTGGTTGTTCCTGCCCTCTGGACATTTGTTAGGTGGGGGATGATAAGCTATAGACATAAAAACATCAGAAAGCCTACCAAGAAGGGTTAAAATCAGCAGAGGGTATGGTCCATGCTATGGGGTGGTCAGAGAAGGTGAAGTTGGAGCATGTTGGACTGGAGCTGGGCCTTGGAGAATGGGTGGGATTTTAATACATGAGAAGGGGACAGGGTATGAACACACCCCAAGGGCTAGGAATGAGAGTGCATATCGGGGGACAGGGATGAGATTGTCTTACTAGAATATTAGCAAGTCATAATTTGCAAAGGAGGGCTACAGCACAAGTGGAATCATAAAAGCAAAAGTACATAGGTATTTCGCTGAAGTTCAAATACTGGTGTCTCCATCTTGAAACCTATGTGACCTTGGACAAGGTACTTAAATTCTTCATGGGGTTGTTGTGAGAAATGAAATGAGACAATACAAAGCACTTCCCACAAGACCTGGTCTATGATTAGCACTTGAAAAATGCTACTGCTGTTATCACAGCCAGATAAGTCCCTGAAATGCCAGGCTAACGTGTTTTCATTTCATTTCTATTGCAGTGCTGTCAGGACAAGTCTTTACTTTCCCAATCGCTAGCCATAACTCCCCCTTTGCTGGCCCCCAGGCATCCTATTAAAGCCTGTCTACTCCAATACCTACCCTAAAAAGGGTCTCCTCCATACTGTTGAAAATTCCACTATCAGAGATCAATTGCTTTGGATTTTTGAGTTTTGGACACTTTTCATTAAAAGAAATTTGTATCAGTGTTTTCTTAGAGGGAATTGGTTGACAGGTCAGAACTCTGAAAGGATGGAAGAGACATTTTTGGAGATGCAAGAGTAGGGTTGTGCTAAGGGAGAATGGAAGTAAGGAGGAAAGTCTGGAAAGTGGACTCATAAACTTTTAATAATCCACAATAACCCAGAGCAGGCACTATTCTGTTACTTGTAAAGACTGTAGAGTTATATATTACTGTTTTGAGAATTGTTTTTTAAAAGTTTTAAAAGTTTTTTTTTTCCCTCCCCCTTATATTGATGGGAGTTATGTTACAGAGCTGGCATGTTTTTCTGGCATTTTTCAACATGTTTTAAATCAAATCTTCTATCCTGGTCTCAGATAGGTCTCCCAGTTTTTTTGGAAAATATGGTAACCATACTTATAAAAATTGAGGTGGCTGATCAACAAAAGCCCAGAATACTTTCTAAAAATTGAGGTATCTTATCAACCAAAGCCTGAAATTTTAAAAATGTTGATACTTAATCATTTGTCATAATGAAAATGAAAAAATTTATACTTTAAAAAATTATCCTATTTCTTAATATTTCCATACTATTTCAGCAATCTGAGATGGGAACCTAAAAGTCTCTGTGTGGCCAAAAAATCTACTCAAGAAAGTGAGAAAAAAAATCACTAACTAACTAATTAATTAATTTAAAGTAGCTTTCCATACCCAGGGTGGAGCCCAATGTGGGGCTTGAACTCATGACCCTGAGATCAAGACCTGAGCTGAGATTAAGAGACACTTAACCAATTGAATCACGCAGGCACCCCACAAATATTTTTTTAATCAGATTTATTGCAATACTTAATCAAGATTCTATTCTACATATTGGTTAATGATTAATAATCTAATACACTAAAAGGAAAAAACACAAATATGAAGAAGTAATTGTATACAATCTTTTTCTAGTAAGTATGGATGCCTTTTTAACAAAAGTAATTTTTCAACCCATACTTCTTTGGAAAGATTCAGTAAAGTATGTGACAAAAAAAATTACAAAGGCTCTCAAAGAACCATTTTTATCCTTGCATGAGTTGTTTCAACAGATTTCTTATGTAACCTCCATGTTGGACTGGGCTACATTGGCATACAGATGGGTCTAGTATCCTCTGGCTCCTTCTTCACTCCTCTTTTTCAGTTTTCGGTACTTGACTTTCTTAGCTGGAGTATGCTGGGACATCTGATTCAGGTACTTGGTCATCATTGATGTTGTGGCCACCAGCCGGCAGAGTATTTGATCAATGTCATAGATGGACGGATTTTCCAGGTCCTTAACAAATGTATCTGAGGAGGCTCGTTTTTTCAGCTAAAAGAAGACAGACAGATGATATTACAGATTTTTTTTCCTACTGTAATTCAAATTACATTTGTTTTCTGGATATGTACACTTAAACTCTAAACACTACATATGATTTATCTATACAAAAGAAAGGTTACTATAAAAGAAAGGTGTAAGCGCAGAAGAAATGCTCTTTTGTATATCATCTAAGATTACAGTGATGATTATCATGATCAGTGAGCATTTAATATGTGCTTTTTATGGTTAGAGCATTCTGCTGAAAGAAATTACTTGAATATTAGTAGAATATTTTCCTTTACTAACATATCATCAACGTGCATCAACATATAATGCAATCAAATCCCAGTAATGTCATAAATACCTAATTGTTGTGAAAGTCAATGAACTTTTAAAAAAAAAAGATTTTATTTATTTGACACAGTGAAAGAGAGCTCACAAATAGGCAGAGAGGCAGGTAGGGGGTGGGGGAAGCGGGCTTCCTGCTGAGCAGAGAGCCCGATGCGGGGCTCGATCCCAGGACCCTGAAATCACGACCTGAGCCGAAGGCAGAGGCCCAACCCATTGAGCCACCCAGGTGCCCCAGTCAATGAGCTTTTAAGATTGCCTCAAAATACAGTTCCATTGGCAAAGTGGGAAATTAGGTTAAGAGCACCATTTCCCAGAATATTATCCTTACCTTAGAAATGAGTTTGCAGTCTATTTAAAAAAGAAAAAATAATACATGACAACTTTGACATACTTAGCTTTCTTAGGTAGGTCTGCAAGGGACTTTACAGATCCCTTGTCCAGACACTTCATTTATGGGTGAAGACAGCAAAGATTGAGTGACTAACCTATGGGCCCAAAGAGGTAACTTCATCTCTTAACCATTCTACTCATTGTAGCTCATTATCTTCCTGATATATTTTGTAACTTGAAAGAGAGAGGATGAACTAGATTATTTTAAAGACTTTCTAATTCAGTACACATTATTGAACCCCAAGTATGTGCAAGACAATGTACTACATGTTTGGGGGTGAGTGGTGGGAGCAAGGAGATGTTACAAAGAGGAATAAGACATGATACGTTCCCTCAAAGAAGCTGATAATCTTATGTTTTAAAGTCTATGGTATTTAGAACTATTACTATTTGCATCACTAATTCACCTTTTTTTGGTGTTTTTTCCATTTCATCCACAGGTAATGCACAGATAAAACAGACAGTATTAAAAAGAGAGCTTGTACTAAAATATAAATGAGATGTAAAGAACCCTGAAATAGATCCATATTAGCAAAACTGCAGCATAGTTTGTCCAGAGGGTAAGGTAGACAGTGAGATGGAGAAGGCTTAACTTTCAGATAATGCATTTCTTCTGGAAAAATCTCCCATCCAACCTTTGTCCAGATAGTTCCATCACAAATGCAGCAGCTCTCCCTAAGGAAGCAGATAAACAACAGAGAAAAAGTTAGGGATGGTCCTTGAATGGACATCTTTCTTAATTGGGAAAAAAAAAATCTACAGCCAAAAAATTGGTCACAGAGCAGAATCACTCTGGGATCAGTTAATATGGTGCTCCACTGGAAGCATCATCAGCATAATATACACTGATGACCATTATAGCATCATCAGTCATAGTGATTCAGTTAGATTCAGTGATGTCATAAAGGACCACATGAGAACGAAAAGGTGCCATCCAGCCAATTACTGGGTTTCTTTCTAAGATTGTATTTTTAAGTAATCTCTACACCCAGCATGGGACTTGAACTCACAACCCCAAGATTAAGAGTTACATGCTCCACCAACTGAGCCAGCTCGACTTCCCTACTGGGTTTCTTAGGGATGTTTTTCCTTGCTTTTCATCGGATTGTTTTAGACTTTTTCCCTTTCCTGAAAAATGAAAACTTTCCTAATTTTTGCTTGCTAATAACTTCTGTAATCACATTAACAGATTTTCATGGAAATAATTTACTTATATCCCTTCCAAGCCTTCTGAGGTATGGCAGTTTTATATCTCCTTAAAAAGTTGCTAGAGCCATACCCTTCCACACAATTTAGCATCTGCTTCTGGTTTTTTTTTTTTTTTTTCACTCTGTTTTTTCACTCTTCCCTTCAAATAGCTAAGCAAAAATTGAGTTCCAACCCTCTTTTAAATTATGTCCCTATGGCGGCAATGTGGTACTGTCTGATAGTGAGTGAGGGGTGGGGAATTTGGCGTGGAGTATGATAAAAAGATATGACATAGATCCTGCTTTAAAAAGCTTACAGTCTAGAGATAGAAGCAAAAAATAAGATCAGAAAAATTATAAGACAGACTAAAATGAGAGCTAACTCAAATTATAATCATGTGATGGTTGAGAGAGCAATGAGCTCTACTTGGGAGAATCAGAAGTTTCACAGAAGAGTATTTGAGTCAGCTTTGAAGAATGAATAGAATTTTGGGGGCGCCTGGGTGGCTCAGTGGGTTAAGCCTCTGCCTTCGACTCAGGTCATGATCTCAGGGTCCTGGGATCAGGCTCTCTGCTCAGTGGGGAGCCTGCTTCCCCCTCACCCTCTGCCTGTCTCTCTGCCTACTTGTAATATCTGTCTGTAAAATAAATAAATAAAATCTTTTTTAAAAATGAGTAAAATTTTGGGGCGCCTGGGTGGCTCAGTGGGTTAAAGCCTCTGCCTTCGGCTCAGGTCATGATCTCGGGGTCCTGGGATCGAGCCCCGCATCGGGCTCTCTGCTCAGCGGGGAGCCTGCTTCCCTCTCTCTCTCTCTCTGCCTGCCTCTCTGCCTACTTGTGATCTCTCTCTCTCTGTCAAACAAATAAAATCTTAAAAAAAAAAAAAAAGTAAAATTTTGGAAGATGGCAATGTCGAGAGGGCATCTTAGGTTGAGGAAACATAATAAATTCTATGTCAACATTCATATAATATTTATCGAGTACCTCTATGTGCTAAATACTCTTCCCGGACCTGAGAATATATGTACAACTTGGCACAAAACAGAATCTTTATGTTCCTGACGTTTACTTTCCAGGAGGAAGACCCAGAAATTTATGTCAAAATCTATAAATCTATGGAGTGCTTTCAAGAAAAGTAGAGCAGCAAGGGGGTTATGAAGTCGCCAGTAAGGGAACGAGTGAGTGTGCATTCCCTTAGAGAGGGCGAGCAGGAAAGGCCTCTCTGATAGGCAAATGTCTGAGCAGAGACCTGAAGAACTGAGAGTGAGGTTGGCAGGCGGGGATATTGCTCTGTAAATAATGGTTAAACTCTGGATGAATGCTGGAAGGGATGAAGCTAGACAGGTAGTTTTTGGCTAGATGGGTGTTGGAGGGATCTGTGTTTTATTCAGTAGTCTGCAGGGGGTCATTTAGAGAGTTTTGAGGACAGCAGTGACATCATAATAAACTTACCCGGTGCTTTACTCTGTCCCAGGCACTGCGCCAAGACACTTGCATGCATCATAGTACACTTTGTTTAGTTCTTTTGACAATTCTGTGAGGACTGTACTATAATACTTCCCTTTTATAGACAAAACTTAGAGGTATTACTGTGGTCTAAATGTTTGTGTCTCCCCCACCCCCAACTCATATGTTGGATGCTAATGCCCAGTGTAATAGTTTTAGGTGGAACCCTCACAAGTAAGATTAGTGCCCTTGTAAGCGTTCCCACAGAGCTCCCTGGCCCCCTCCACCACATGAAGGCATAGTGAGAAGGTGCCAGCTATGAAGGAAGAGGGCTCTCATCAGACGGCAGCCATGTTGGTGCCTTGATCTTGGATTTCTCAGTCTCCAGAACTTTGAGAAATGAATTTCTGTTGTTTATAATCTACCCAGCCAGTGATGTTTTGCCATAGCAGCCTGAATGCCTTACACAGGTGGTATTAAGAGGATGCTCCTTTCTCTACCAAACCACCCCAAATAAACACATGCTCTTGGTAAAATCAGTGAATTTATTATACAAATGCAGTTTCATGACAAGTTCTTTAGTCCTGTCTTCTAATTCCTCCATCCTGTATTGGAATTCTGGAACTACCACTGACTCCAAGTTACCCAAATAGTGTAGCCAAAACCTAGACCTTGGATTCCAGTTTAGGGAATTAATTTTGCTTGTAGCATGAATGATGAGTTTGAAGCTGTGAAGGGCTGAAAGCAAGGATACTAGTTAATTGGTCCCTGTATATTAATACAATTCCTGGAGCACCTGGGTGGCTCAGTCCATTGACTGTCCAACTCTTGATCTTGGCTCGGGTCTTGATCTCAAGGTCATGCATTCAAGCCCTGTGTTGAGCCCAGCATGGAGCCTACTGAAGAAACAAACAAACAAACAAAACCCCAAAAAACTATTCCAGACATGGGTCTGAATTTGACCTCTCTTATTATGTCCACTTTACAGATAGACAAATGAAGCTTAAGAGTTTGTTAGGTAGTAGAGATGACACAGTTGAGTATTACAGTGAATTTTTTTGAGTTTCTATTTCAATTCCAGTTAGTTACCATACAGTGTAATATTAGTTTCAGATATACAATTTAGTGATTCAACACCTCCACGCAACACCCAGTGCTCATCACAAGTGCCCTCCTCAATCCCCATCACCTATTTCACCCAGTCCCCCCCCCATAACCATCAGTTTGTTCTCTATCTTCTTTAGAAAAAATGTCTCTCCATGTCTTTTACCCATTTTTTCGTTGGATTATTTGTTTTTTGAGTGCTGAGTTGTATAGGTTCTTTATATATGTTGGATACTATCCCTTTATCAGAGATGTAACTTGCAATTATTGTCCCCCATTCCACAGGTTGACTTTCAGTTTTGTAGTTTGTTTCCTTCTCTGTGCAGAAGCTTTTTATTTTTTATTTTATTTTATTTTTTTAAAGATTTTATTTATTTATTTGACAGACAGAGATCACAAGTAGGCAGAGAGGCAGGCAGAGAGAGAGGAGGAAGCAGGCTCCCTGCCGAGCAGAGAGCCCAATGCGGGGCTCGACCCCAGGACCCCGGGATCATGACCTGAGCCAAAGGCAGAGGCTTTAACCCACTGAGCCACCCAGGTGCCCCCACAGAAGCTTTTTATTTTGATGAAGTCCCAATCCTTTGTTTTTGCTCTTGTTTTCCTTGCCTCCAGAGACATATCTAGAAAGAATTTGTTGTGGCTGATGTCAAAGAGGTTACTGCCTGTGTTCTCTGCTAAATTTTTAGTAGTTTCCTGTCTCACATTTAGGTGACAGTTACTTTGAAGTTATTTTTGTGGATGGTGTAAGATGGTTTCATTCTTTTGCATGTTGCTGTCCAGTTTTCCCAACAGCATTGGTTGAAGAGACTCTTTTCTATTGGCTATTAATTTCTGCTTTATTGAAGATAAATTTTTTTTAAAGATTTTATTTATTTATTTGACAGACAGAGACAACAAGTAGGCAGAGAGGCAGGCAGAGAGAGAGGAGGAAGCAGGCTGCAGGCTCCCTGCCGAGCAGAGAGCCCCATGTGGGGCTCGATCCCAGGATCCTGGGATCATGACCTGAGCCGAAGGTAGAGGCTTTAACCCGCTGAGCCACCCAGGCGCCCCTATTGAAGATAAATTAACCCTATAGTTGTGGGTTCATTTCTGGGCTCTCTATTCTGTTCCATTGATCTATGTGTCTGTTTTTATGCTGGTACCATACTGTTTTGATCACTACAGCTTTGTAATATAACCTGAACTCCAGAATTGTGATGCCTCCAGCTTTGCTTTTCTTTTTCAAGGTTGCTTTGGCTATGTGGGGTCTTTTGTGGTTTTATACAAATTTTAGGATTATTTGTTCTAGCTCTGTGAAAAATACTATTGGTAGGGATTACATTAAATATGTAGATCACTTTGAGTAGCATAGAAATTTTAACAATATTTGTTCTTCTAATCATAAGCATGGAATGTTTTCCCATTTCTTTGTTTTTCATATTCATCTCTTTCATCAGTGTTTTATAGTTTTCAGAGCACTGCTCTTTCACCTCTTAGGTTAGGTTTATTCCTAGATATTTTATGGTTTTTAATATAATTGTAAATGGGATCAATGTCTTAATTTGTCTTTCTGGTTCTTCATTATTGGTATATAGAAATGCAACAGATTTCTGTATGTTGTTTTTGTAACCCGTGACTTTACAGATTTTGTGTATCAGTTCTACAGATTTTTGGTGCAGTCTTTTGGGTTTTCTATATAGAGTATTATATCATCTGCAAATAGTGAAAGTTTGGCTTCTTTTGTGCCAATTTGGGTACCTTTCATTTCTTTTTGTTGTCTGATTGCTGTGGCTAGCACTTCCAGTATTATGTTGAATAACAGTGGTGAGAGTAGACATCCCTGTCTTGTTCCTGACCATGGGAGAAAAGCTCTGTTTTTTTTTCCCCATTCAGAATAATATTAGTTGTGGGTTTTTCATATATGGACTTTATTACGCTGACATTTGTTCTTTCTAACCCTACTTTGTTGAGAATTTTTGTCATGAATGGATGTTGTACTTTGTCAAATACTTTTT